GCTTCCATTTAGAAGGATAAACTCCATTCACAAGGGACGTTGAGAATATCTTAAGCAAAAGGAAAGGGAGATCAGAGCCACCATTTTTAGGAAGGATGAGGGAATAGAGTCAGGTCCAGGAGTATTGGAGAATTTCAATGAACTGATTGCACTTTTTGTAACATCAACAGTCAAGCATATATTTGACAGTGTTTTTTCTGTTACAGAGTCAAATTCGATGCATGCGGAAATATCGTGCGTGTATGAGTTAGAAAAGTGCTTGTTAAAGAGTTCGGTTATGCCTGCATCATCCTTAACAGCAACATTATTATGAAAAATGTAAGGAATGTTGCCTTGTTTTTGTTGCAGTCTTTTTTGGAAGAGTTTACATAGAGAGCTAATTTTGCAACTACTTTTAAGGGCGACAAGTTCTTCTTTGTAAATTTTACTGGCATTATCTGACCTGATTTTATCATATACCTTTAGGATGCTAATGAGCGAGGAGAAGTCCATAGATTTATTATAGGTTTTACGGAGTCTTCTTAGCTTGTTCCTGGTAGCATTTGGTATATATAGTTGATTTACACGGTTGCCTTTGGATGTATACCAAGGGATAGATTCGTTGAGGCAAACTGATATGTTGGAGTAGAAACTGTCAAGGACAGAATCAATGTCTACCGAGGAGAAAAAGGTATCCCAGTCTTGGCAACGAATAAAAGATTGCGTTGTTTCCCACTTAGCCTTTGAAAAGTCTCCGACTTTTACTGTCCGACGACGGCCTTTGCCTGACCCATTTGCTGCTAAGTTAAAGGTGGAAATGACCGTGTTGTGGTCGCTACCAGGGAATAAAGGCCCAACTCGAGTGCTGATGGGAAGGATGTTGTGTGTGAAGATTAGATCCAAGATGTTGGATTTGCGTGTGGGGAGATTCACATTTTGTGTCCATCCATAGGATTCAACCGAGTTTATAAAACGACCAGTGTATTTAGGAACATTTAGCCTATTCCACTGGATACCAGGCATGTTAAAGTCGCCAGCCATTATTTTATAGTCAAAGTTTAGGGAGGAGACGTGTTCGAAAATTTCACACAAATGGTTCGTTGTATTGATATCAGAATTGGGCGGGCGGTACATACATCCCAATAAAAGTCTTGTATTTAAGTTAGTGTTGAGTGTAACCCAAACTGCGTCTGTAAGTGAGCAACCCAAATCGTCAACTTCTACGGCGTGGAATTTGTTGCTAACAAAGATAAGACAACCACCACCACGTCCTTCTTCTCTGCCATGTCTAAAGTGTGTGTATCCTGCTGATTCTAACAGTCTGTCACTGAAGTCAGATGGTAACCAGGTCTCAGTAACTAACAGTACTGAGGGCATAAAAAGTGAAAGTAAGGAGTGAAGGTACGGAATTTTATTGCAGATAGAACAAGCGTTTATAAGGAAAAGAGTAAATGATCTTTCATCAGTGGTAAGGGCTGAGGCAAAGTGAAGGAGATGATGATGTGATTCAGCTGAGGTTAAATGAAAATTAGATGACAGTCTGACCGGTACATCGAGTGTTCGGCCCATAAAGCCTTCATCGTTTTCGTTAAAGTTCTGTGAAAAAGAAGATGGTTTCCATGGTTGATCGCTCAGTCCACGATCGCATGGAGGTAGGCATACGGAAACTGGTATAAGAATAAAACTTGGGCACTGTGGTAGAGTGTAATTCCATTATGGGTAAATTTTATTTTGATAGAGTCTCACAGTGTTATACAGTAATATTTACTGATGACCTTTCGAGCACAATTTATTGCTCATAATCATATCATATACGGAAACTGGGGTATCCTGGGTGTCTGAAGAGGGCACATTTGAGAGTAAGGAAACAGACTGTTTGACATCAGGTTGACTGGTGGCATTACTGCCGGGTGCGGAAAAGAGAAAAATGGTGAGGGGATTGATTAGTTGGAAAGTTGTAAAGACGGTTTTGGTGTCAGGGGAGTGTGTTTCTGGGGTAGTAGCATTTACTGGGTGGATCCCCAAGCAGGCTATGCTGAAAGTTTAGGCGATTGAGTCCATGTGGCTGTGCACCAGGAATACGGGCATAGTTAAATTTGGCATTACGCAACCTCATAGTAGAAGTTGGGTAGCTGCAACTGGTTGTATTAAAATGGTGAGGAAAAGAGAATGAGATAGGTTGACTAATGTCAGTTCTATTTGATACCATAGACGTCTTTTTGGGAGATTTAAGCGCATGAGTAGTAGGAGACGCTGAACCAGGCTTGATGGAGTGTGTGGTAGGCACAGGAATTTTGTTCCTTACATTTTTACTCAGAATCTTAGAGCTAGATGTGAAGATATTACAAGGGTTTTCGATAGTTCTAGCATGGCGGGTGAGATTTTTATTGATATCGTTTGCAGCAAGTGAGTGCTTATCAGGTTGTTTAACAACTGGAGAAATACTAGATTTAGTATTGGTAACCATATCAAGCTTCATTTTAGGGTAACTAGGTGGAGGGCTTCTTGTAGGATTTAGGTGGTGTTTTGTATTGACATCAGTGGGGCCGGTTGTATCCTTTTGGTGATTTATTTCATCTGCTGGGATACTTTGTTTGGCACGACGCTGGATTGGTGTCCTGTCGTGAATAATACGTACATTTTTAAAGCTACTTGCTTTCCTAAAGAGATGCTGGTTATTTACAAAGCGACTAGCATCCACAATGCTATTAAACTCGAACATTATTGGACAAGATGTATTAGCTGAAGATTTACGCAGTCGTTTGCAGGTACAATGGGAATCTAGTATTTCGCATGCCTTTAAAAGTGTGTTTTTCAATGTTTTAATGTTCGTACTGTCGGGCACATTGAAAACAATTGTATTATACATGCACTGAACCCGCTTGATCACTTCCGTGGAAATATGGTCTATAATTCTCTCACAAGACTGTAGCGTATCATAGTCAGGATAATCAGCAAGCTTTATCAGATACCTAAGGGGTAAGAGATCATGGACTAACGGAAGAATGTTTGTGCTTTCCAGGCTATTGGCTTGGTTGGATGTGTTTTGCGTGGGCAATGAGCAATTTGTTTTTTTCAAATTTGGCATTAGGTTGGTGTCCATGGGTCACTGATGACCGATGGAAATTTTTGCGATGAGGGGCTTTATCGTTTAGGGTAGCGGTGGTGCTGCAATCTGCCCTCTGTGTCGGCATATGTGTAGCCTGCTCAAAAGCATCCAATTGAATGGAACTAGATGACAGTAAATCTGCCTGTGTATTGCAATGGTTATCAAGGTCAAAGTCTAAGGTTACTAAGCATTTGGGGGAGTTACCATTTCTTTTGACACGGTCAAAAGATTTGATATTAGTATGTATACATGATAGTGAGGCCACATGTATGTTCGGACCTTCTGACTGACAGTCCTGAGCGGGGCAAATGCAGAGGAGCCGGTGTCAGACTTTTTATTAACAGCCAGTGTGGCTTGATAAGAATCGAAAATGCTTGGCTCACAACCTGTACTATTGCAAATATCCCTGATAAAATCATTTATTACGCAAGAAGGTGAAGAGGTAATGACTTCCGATTTTGACATATTTAGCACCTGTGTCAGATCAGGGAAAAGTGTAGTAGCATGCTGTTTAGGCTTGCTAGATTTATGTCTTTTGCTGAAGATTTCAGCCGATCATGAAGCACGACGCTTCGATAGCTTAACTGGCATTTTGTGTAAAGTTAATACAGAACTGTCGGGCTGCAAGTATATGAGACTTAGGTTGTTTGATTTTATGTCAAAACAAAAGACAAGAGTAATATGAGCACTGAGAGTCAGATGCTCGATGTGGTAATACCTTAATCAGTGATCTGAAACAGTAAAAGTAGCAAGTATAATATCCAGTGACTACAAAGGTAAGTCCAGATATAAAACAAATATTGCTATTTGTATTAGTAATTGGTGACACTAAGGATATATTCTGAAAAGTGGGAGTACTAGTAAGAATAATAAAAATGAAAACCACGCGGAAAAAAACGACAAACTTCAAACGAGGCGCGTCTGACGTACTCACCAGATCATATGTTATCCGCTTTTCAAAACCGTTTTGCAACATATCGAATAGCTGTTAACATAGGGAGGGTGGTGATTGCTAGTCAGCGGATATGATGGTGGGGACATATGAGAACCACCCTTATCTGTGGGACAGCACTCTATTGCTAAGGCTCCTGAGTTCGAATGGCTTCTGCAAAATAAGAGAATATATAAAATTAAAAAAAACAGAAGTTGAAAATTTGCCTAAAGCTGAAGTTTAAATGACAAACTCCTCGAATACAAGTACATGGTATGAGTCCCTTACTTCAGAAGGACACCTAAATGTATACTTCAGAAAAACAGTAGTTATTATTAAGCCCTCGCTTTTCTTCTACATAGTTCACGCACTTTGACTTTTGTGTTTAACTCATATTCAACCTATATAAGTAGGTAAAATTATCATCTTTTTTCACTCAAACTTTTTTTCTTTTCGCAAGAAAGACTAGAATTCCATCACTAGAAAATCTCAGGGGGAAATAGTATTTTTTAAATGAAAAAACAATAAAAAATGATGAACCCCATGTTTTTTATATATGTTTTGAATTATTAACCCCTATTATATACTTCTGCACCTCTCTGGCGGTTTTCTTGTGGCTTCTTCTCTTTTCAAAGGTACTGCCTTAAATGAAGGCACTGAAACAGTGCCGCTATCCTCAACTAATTCGGAATATTGCTAGCCCACCTGGTGGATAACGGAACCACCTCTATCATGAAATCTGCTGACAAGTTCAAAGTTGGTCTCATATACAACTGGAAATGTCACAATTATGGTGTACTTACCGGTGAATTTGAAGTTTTATGGACTTTCAAACACTCTATGAATCATTTACTTACAATTACTGTTCATTCCGCATCTCTTATATTTCACGTCAGCACCTGTACAAAAATGCTACTTACCTTCTGTAACACTCACGGACCACAGACACAGCCAAGGAAGGAAGAACACAAAGATGCGGAAGAAAAGGTCTTTATTACACCACGCAAGATTTAAACTGACCGGGTACAGAGTTATTTATTATCATTTATAACAAGTCTCGACATTCGGTCTTCTTCTTCCTCCAACAGTGCCACGTCTACGTTTCTTCCTGAAAAATAGGAAAGAGGGAACTCGTTTAGTGATCTCATACAAGTTTTTATATCATTACATCGCTCCCTCCCCTCTGAAGGCACTGTCCTCAGTGCCAGGCGACGGTATAGGATATGCACTACCTCCTTCGGTAGGCACCTCGACGTAGGTCGTAGCGGGCGGTGGTTGCGAAGGTGTTGATGGTTCGTTGACAGCTGCTGGATAGTGGGGTTTCAGCTGGTTGTAATGCGCAGAGATGAGCTTTTCTTGGGGACTTCGCAGGTTCCGCAGGATATACGTAGTCGGGGGTCGATGCTGTACAATTTGATATGGACCTTGCCAGGGCGTGTAGAATTTGGGGCACGAGCCGGTAGGGGCGGACGGATGATGGAGCCACACATAGTCACCCGTGGAATAAGTGGGACCCTGGGCAAACCTGTCATAATTGCTTTTCTGATGTTGCGAAGAAGACTGTAGATGACGACGTGCCAGATTGTAGGCTATATCGAGGTGGTGGCGAGGTTGCGGACGTAGGGGATTAAGTCGATCTTCTCGTATGGTAGCAACGGTCTTCGGATCTCGACTGGCAGGCGAAGTTCACGTCCAAACAAGAGCAGAGCTGGAGAAAATCCTGTGGACGAATGAACGGAGGAGCGGTATGCTAGCAGGCACTGGGGTAGGGCATCGTCCCAGGTGTTCTCTGGTGCATTGTGCAAAAAGGCACGAAGAAGGTGCTTGATTGTTCTGTTCGTGCGTTCCACCAGTCCATTACCTTGTGGGTGATAAGGCGTAGTATGGGTCTTTCGGATGCCGAACGCATTGCAGATGTGAGCGATCAGAAGACTCTCAAACGCGGCGCCTTGATCGGAATGCAGATAAAGGGGGGCACCAAAGCGGGACACCCAATTATCGACGAATGCGCGCCCAATCGTCGGTGCATCTTGTTGCTGTAGAGGGACAGCTTCGCACCACTTGGTGAAGTAGTCAACCATGACGAGTATATACCGATTACCACGTCTCGATGTTGGTAATGGCCCAATAATATCTACTCCCACTCGATGATTAGGGCCCTCGGTCAACATGGGTACTAAGGGAGCTCGGGGGGTTGGTTTGGGGTGTTTGATCTGCGCGCATATATCGCAATTACGGCAAAACTCCGTGATATCATGGTGAATAAGTGGCCACCAGAAGCGTTGACGGATGGCATGTTCAGTTTTCTGTTGGCCAGCGTGTCCCAGTTGCTGATGTACTTGACTGATGAGCTCGGGTACTTTAACGGATGGGACGAGTAGTCGGGGAGTGGTGTTTGGTTCCACGATGTAAAGAACATCATCGATGAGTCGTAGTAGGCCCCATTTATCGCAGATGCACCGAGAAGCGGCTGGTAAGTCCCGTAGTTCTGTGGACGTCGGTTTGTCGTTCCCATGCTGTTGTCTTAAATAGATGGGCTGTATTGCCGTGTCCGCCGCTTGTAGGGAAGCCCAGTCAGTGTCAGCTGCAGCGCCGAGTAACACATTCAAGGTGTTTTCGCAATCTGTCAGGCGGGAGAGAGAGTCAGCGTTACCATGTCGTTTTCCGGGCCGGTATTCGCACGTGAAATCAAACTCCTGTAAACGTTCTTGCCAACGAGCAAGTTGGCCCTCGGCATCGCGAAAATTTTGTAGCCACTGTAACGCCTTGTGATCAGTCCGGACTCGAAATTTGCGCCCCAATAAGTAATGACGAAAGTATGTAAGAAAGTATACGAGGGCTAACATCTCACGGCGTGTCGTGGAATACCGCGTCTCTCTTTTGTCCAGCATGCGGCTAGCATATGCTATCACTCGTATTTGCCCATCAGGAGTTGCCTGCGAGAGAACGGCTCCGATTGCGTGTGCACTGGCGTCAGTATCGAGGATAAAGGGACCACTGTCAGCTGATGTGTCTGGAAACGATAGGACGGGAGGAGAAGTGAGACATTTTTTAAGCGTGTCGAAGGCTATCTGGCACTCATTTGTCCAGACGAATTTCCGTCCTTTTTCTGTCAGGCGGTGGAGGGGGGCTGCTATACTGGCGAAATTTTGGACGAAACGCCGATAATAGGAGGCAAGCCCCATGAAACTGCGTACGTCAGCTGTCGATTTAGGAGTCGGCCAGTTGACCACTGCTTGAGTTTTGCTGCTATCTGTACGCACTCCTTGTGGAGTAATCTCATGTCCAAGTAAAATAACAGATTTCTGCAGGAACTTGCATTTGGAGGCTTTCAACTTAAGATTACTCTTGCGTAGACGCTGAAATACGGCTCGAAGGTTGGCATGGTGTTCTTCGAGAGACTGGCCGAACACGATGATATCGTCTAGATAGATAAGGCATTGTTTAGGGACTAGCCCGGCAAGTACCGTTTGCATGAGCCGCTGAAACGTGGCAGGGGCGTTAGACAGACCAAATGGCATGGTTTCGAATTCGTACAACCCCGTGGGCACAACAAACGCAGTTTTTGGGCGATGTTCTGGACGAATTTCAACTTGCCAATAGCCGGAAGCTAGATCTAATGTGGAGAACCACTGTGCCCCACCCAAAGCATCTAAGGTGGAGTCTATGCGAGGCAAGGGAAAGGAATCCCGTTGGGTGATGGCATTTAAGCGACGATAGTCTACACAAAGACGGAGGGAACCATCTTTCTTTTTTACGAGAACAATTGGAGATGCCCATGGTGATGTAGACGGTTTAATCACCTTCTTCCTTAACATGTCCGTTATCATGGAATCTAACTGTTGTTGATAGTGGACAGGTACACATCGCGGTGGTACCCGAATGGGCAGGTTATCGCCCGTCTTAATCTCGTGTTGTACGACATTAGTTCGCCCCATTGCATGTCCATCGTCGAAGACATCACTGTACTCCTGTAGCAGGGCCAGAGTGTCTGCACGTTCTTTGGGATTAAGTAGAGGATTATCATGCAAATTCACCATAGTCACCTGGGGCAAGACGCAGGCGTGGGCATGCTCTTTGTGGTTGACTGGATGAACAAATGCAAGGTTATGGGTGCCTAGCCGTATTCGAAAACGTCTTAAGTCAATGACAGCGTTTTGTCCCGTGAGGAAGTCGACGCCCAGTATGGCGTCCCATCGTATAGCATCGCATATGACGAACGACTGAGAGCAAGTAAAACCCTGAAACGTCACGGGGAGGATAGCAGTGTCGGTTATCTTGATAGGGACCCCATTGGCAGTAATTAGCTGTAGTTGGGTAGGGAGAGGTTTAGGTTTGACCCCGAGTTTTCGAACCAATTCCGTGCGAACGACAGAGGACGATGCCCCGGTGTCCACCAGAAAGGTGACGTCTATGTCTTGCAATTTACCCTCAAGGAGGAGGGGAGATTTCGAACATTTAACAAATGAAGACATATTATAATGTAGCTCACCTGATGGTTTTTTGTTATGTCCACATTTCCATGCACGGCGGCCGTACCGGCGACAGTAATAACATTTACTTCTGTCGCCGCTATCTTTGGAGGAATTTGCAGGTTGGCTGGTTGAAGGGGCATTGGACTGGCGTTGTCTTTGTGCGGGAACGCATGTCTTCCGCTCGGCGGTCCCGAGAGCATAGCAAGACGTACTGGTCGATGGGGTTAGAAAGCGTTCGGCGTTTTCGAAGCGTTTAGCCACCTCGATGGCTTCTGAGATGGATTTTGCTGGCTGACGTAAAAGTTGGCACTTGAGATCATGCGATAGGACACCCTGTGCGAACCGGTTGCAAACAGCGTCGTCTCGGCTCGTGTTGGCTAGGGTAGGAAATGCGTGTGCTGCCAACTCGCGAAGTTGATGGAGGTAATTGACGGCTGTTTCGCCGGGCTCTTGACAGCGGCTAAGGAAAATTTGCATGTAGACTGAGGGACTGGAATTTTTGGCAAAACATTCGTCAAGAATATGCCAGTTGTAGCTCATGGGCTTGAGTGCGGAAAAGCCCCCAGTGATTGCACGGCGAAGGGCGGCGTCACTCATGGCTAGCATAAGCTGGGTGTGTTGTGCTTGTGCAGGAAGACCAGTTAGGGCAGATTCCATGCGTATTTTCCACATTTCGTAATCGCTATTTGTATCCAATATCGGAAGACCGCGCATCGGTTGAATGTGTTCTGGGGCTGAAGTGGGTGGGTTCACTTGGTGGTTGGAATTGACTTCAGGAGGATCAGTAGAATCGGATTTCATGTCGAAATTGAATTTGGAGCACCTCCGACACCAATGTAACACTCACGGACCACAGACACAGCCAAGGAAGGAAGAACACAAAGATGCGGAAGAAAAGGTCTTTATTACACCACGCAAGATTTAAACTGACCGGGTACAGAGTTATTTATTATCATTTATAACAAGTCTCGACATTCGGTCTTCTTCTTCCTCCAACAGTGCCACGTCTACGTTTCTTCCTGAAAAATAGGAAAGAGGGAACTCGTTTAGTGATCTCATACAAGTTTTTATATCATTACATCGCTCCCTCCCCTCTGAAGGCACTGTCCTCAGTGCCAGGCGACGGTATAGGATATGCACTACCTCCTTCGGTAGGCACCTCGACGTAGGTCGTAGCGGGCGGTGGTTGCGAAGGTGTTGATGGTTCGTTGACAGCTGCTGGATAGTGGGGTTTCAGCTGGTTGTAATGCGCAGAGATGAGCTTTTCTTGGGGACTTCGCAGGTTCCGCAGGATATACGTAGTCGGGGGTCGATGCTGTACAATTTGATATGGACCTTGCCAGGGCGTGTAGAATTTGGGGCACGAGCCGGTAGGGGCGGACGGATGATGGAGCCACACATAGTCACCCGTGGAATAAGTGGGACCCTGGGCAAACCTGTCATAATTGCTTTTCTGATGTTGCGAAGAAGACTGTAGATGACGACGTGCCAGATTGTAGGCTATATCGAGGTGGTGGCGAGGTTGCGGACGTAGGGGATTAAGTCGATCTTCTCGTATGGTAGCAACGGTCTTCGGATCTCGACTGGCAGGCGAAGTTCACGTCCAAACAAGAGCAGAGCTGGAGAAAATCCTGTGGACGAATGAACGGAGGAGCGGTATGCTAGCAGGCACTGGGGTAGGGCATCGTCCCAGGTGTTCTCTGGTGCATTGTGCAAAAAGGCACGAAGAAGGTGCTTGATTGTTCTGTTCGTGCGTTCCACCAGTCCATTACCTTGTGGGTGATAAGGCGTAGTATGGGTCTTTCGGATGCCGAACGCATTGCAGATGTGAGCGATCAGAAGACTCTCAAACGCGGCGCCTTGATCGGAATGCAGATAAAGGGGGGCACCAAAGCGGGACACCCAATTATCGACGAATGCGCGCCCAATCGTCGGTGCATCTTGTTGCTGTAGAGGGACAGCTTCGCACCACTTGGTGAAGTAGTCAACCATGACGAGTATATACCGATTACCACGTCTCGATGTTGGTAATGGCCCAATAATATCTACTCCCACTCGATGATTAGGGCCCTCGGTCAACATGGGTACTAAGGGAGCTCGGGGGGTTGGTTTGGGGTGTTTGATCTGCGCGCATATATCGCAATTACGGCAAAACTCCGTGATATCATGGTGAATAAGTGGCCACCAGAAGCGTTGACGGATGGCATGTTCAGTTTTCTGTTGGCCAGCGTGTCCCAGTTGCTGATGTACTTGACTGATGAGCTCGGGTACTTTAACGGATGGGACGAGTAGTCGGGGAGTGGTGTTTGGTTCCACGATGTAAAGAACATCATCGATGAGTCGTAGTAGGCCCCATTTATCGCAGATGCACCGAGAAGCGGCTGGTAAGTCCCGTAGTTCTGTGGACGTCGGTTTGTCGTTCCCATGCTGTTGTCTTAAATAGATGGGCTGTATTGCCGTGTCCGCCGCTTGTAGGGAAGCCCAGTCAGTGTCAGCTGCAGCGCCGAGTAACACATTCAAGGTGTTTTCGCAATCTGTCAGGCGGGAGAGAGAGTCAGCGTTACCATGTCGTTTTCCGGGCCGGTATTCGCACGTGAAATCAAACTCCTGTAAACGTTCTTGCCAACGAGCAAGTTGGCCCTCGGCATCGCGAAAATTTTGTAGCCACTGTAACGCCTTGTGATCAGTCCGGACTCGAAATTTGCGCCCCAATAAGTAATGACGAAAGTATGTAAGAAAGTATACGAGGGCTAACATCTCACGGCGTGTCGTGGAATACCGCGTCTCTCTTTTGTCCAGCATGCGGCTAGCATATGCTATCACTCGTATTTGCCCATCAGGAGTTGCCTGCGAGAGAACGGCTCCGATTGCGTGTGCACTGGCGTCAGTATCGAGGATAAAGGGACCACTGTCAGCTGATGTGTCTGGAAACGATAGGACGGGAGGAGAAGTGAGACATTTTTTAAGCGTGTCGAAGGCTATCTGGCACTCATTTGTCCAGACGAATTTCCGTCCTTTTTCTGTCAGGCGGTGGAGGGGGGCTGCTATACTGGCGAAATTTTGGACGAAACGCCGATAATAGGAGGCAAGCCCCATGAAACTGCGTACGTCAGCTGTCGATTTAGGAGTCGGCCAGTTGACCACTGCTTGAGTTTTGCTGCTATCTGTACGCACTCCTTGTGGAGTAATCTCATGTCCAAGTAAAATAACAGATTTCTGCAGGAACTTGCATTTGGAGGCTTTCAACTTAAGATTACTCTTGCGTAGACGCTGAAATACGGCTCGAAGGTTGGCATGGTGTTCTTCGAGAGACTGGCCGAACACGATGATATCGTCTAGATAGATAAGGCATTGTTTAGGGACTAGCCCGGCAAGTACCGTTTGCATGAGCCGCTGAAACGTGGCAGGGGCGTTAGACAGACCAAATGGCATGGTTTCGAATTCGTACAACCCCGTGGGCACAACAAACGCAGTTTTTGGGCGATGTTCTGGACGAATTTCAACTTGCCAATAGCCGGAAGCTAGATCTAATGTGGAGAACCACTGTGCCCCACCCAAAGCATCTAAGGTGGAGTCTATGCGAGGCAAGGGAAAGGAATCCCGTTGGGTGATGGCATTTAAGCGACGATAGTCTACACAAAGACGGAGGGAACCATCTTTCTTTTTTACGAGAACAATTGGAGATGCCCATGGTGATGTAGACGGTTTAATCACCTTCTTCCTTAACATGTCCGTTATCATGGAATCTAACTGTTGTTGATAGTGGACAGGTACACATCGCGGTGGTACCCGAATGGGCAGGTTATCGCCCGTCTTAATCTCGTGTTGTACGACATTAGTTCGCCCCATTGCATGTCCATCGTCGAAGACATCACTGTACTCCTGTAGCAGGGCCAGAGTGTCTGCACGTTCTTTGGGATTAAGTAGAGGATTATCATGCAAATTCACCATAGTCACCTGGGGCAAGACGCAGGCGTGGGCATGCTCTTTGTGGTTGACTGGATGAACAAATGCAAGGTTATGGGTGCCTAGCCGTATTCGAAAACGTCTTAAGTCAATGACAGCGTTTTGTCCCGTGAGGAAGTCGACGCCCAGTATGGCGTCCCATCGTATAGCATCGCATATGACGAACGACTGAGAGCAAGTAAAACCCTGAAACGTCACGGGGAGGATAGCAGTGTCGGTTATCTTGATAGGGACCCCATTGGCAGTAATTAGCTGTAGTTGGGTAGGGAGAGGTTTAGGTTTGACCCCGAGTTTTCGAACCAATTCCGTGCGAACGACAGAGGACGATGCCCCGGTGTCCACCAGAAAGGTGACGTCTATGTCTTGCAATTTACCCTCAAGGAGGAGGGGAGATTTCGAACATTTAACAAATGAAGACATATTATAATGTAGCTCACCTGATGGTTTTTTGTTATGTCCACATTTCCATGCACGGCGGCCGTACCGGCGACAGTAATAACATTTACTTCTGTCGCCGCTATCTTTGGAGGAATTTGCAGGTTGGCTGGTTGAAGGGGCATTGGACTGGCGTTGTCTTTGTGCGGGAACGCATGTCTTCCGCTCGGCGGTCCCGAGAGCATAGCAAGACGTACTGGTCGATGGGGTTAGAAAGCGTTCGGCGTTTTCGAAGCGTTTAGCCACCTCGATGGCTTCTGAGATGGATTTTGCTGGCTGACGTAAAAGTTGGCACTTGAGATCATGCGATAGGACACCCTGTGCGAACCGGTTGCAAACAGCGTCGTCTCGGCTCGTGTTGGCTAGGGTAGGAAATGCGTGTGCTGCCAACTCGCGAAGTTGATGGAGGTAATTGACGGCTGTTTCGCCGGGCTCTTGACAGCGGCTAAGGAAAATTTGCATGTAGACTGAGGGACTGGAATTTTTGGCAAAACATTCGTCAAGAATATGCCAGTTGTAGCTCATGGGCTTGAGTGCGGAAAAGCCCCCAGTGATTGCACGGCGAAGGGCGGCGTCACTCATGGCTAGCATAAGCTGGGTGTGTTGTGCTTGTGCAGGAAGACCAGTTAGGGCAGATTCCATGCGTATTTTCCACATTTCGTAATCGCTATTTGTATCCAATATCGGAAGACCGCGCATCGGTTGAATGTGTTCTGGGGCTGAAGTGGGTGGGTTCACTTGGTGGTTGGAATTGACTTCAGGAGGATCAGTAGAATCGGATTTCATGTCGAAATTGAATTTGGAGCACCTCCGACACCAATGTAACACTCACGGACCACAGACACAGCCAAGGAAGGAAGAACACAAAGATGCGGAAGAAAAGGTCTTTATTACACCACGCAAGATTTAAACTGACCGGGTACAGAGTTATTTATTATCATTTATAACAAGTCTCGACATTCGGTCTTCTTCTTCCTCCAACAGTGCCACGTCTACGTTTCTTCCTGAAAAATAGGAAAGAGGGAACTCGTTTAGTGATCTCATACAAGTTTTTATATCATTACACTTCCACAATTAACGTAATCGTTTATAATTCCCGCGTGAAATTGACATCCAATCCAATATCCAATATCGTTTTTACGAGCTAGTATAAACCAATTTGATTTCTTTGTGCTCGTCTCTTGATTGTGAGGTAGAGGTTCCTGATCTTTGGTAAACGTCTGTGTAGCTCGTCCCGCCACTCGACTGTCGTAGCTTTGGTTGACCCCAACAGGTGTAGTGCTGGGGTTAATTATATGGGGTTTGTAGTATGAAGTGTGTTAAGACTGTTACTACTGTGAATGGAGTTGATCCTTTTACCAGTTAGTACTTCGGTATCGTCGTCAATGGAAAAGGGATAATAATCATAATAATACATACCGTATTTTTTTTTCAATTACAGTTTTGATTTGATGCTATATCTCATGAATCGTTCAGTTGAAAGCATATCTCGAAAATTACCTATTGCCTTATTTGTACATTTCTTTTTAAATATTTCTCTCAAATTTACCAGTATTCAATCTATTTCTAGATTAACAAATCATATATATTCTATAAGTTCTAATTAGTGTACATTTGTTCATGCCTGTAAAAATGGCTGGTTTCTGTTCCAGAAATAAAATTATTATTATTATAAAACACTGAAAGCCGCATGAGAGAAGCGTACAGAACTATTACAATGAAATGAATGCACTGACCTGGTGGTAAAAACTTTTGAAACCAAGGAAATAACTAATTTTAACAGCAGCGGAAACAAAAATGAGGTGAAACGGAACGATTGTGAATAATGCGCATCAACATAAGTTGTGAATAACTGTAGGATAAATGTAAAAACCAATGTGTAAACGAACGGCTACGGAACTGCAATCCAACATGGCCGACTAACATGGACGAAGATGACCTTTGAGCGTCTCACTCCACCAATGACCTTGGACGTGACGGACAATTTCAGCCTCGAAACTCTATCATCCAGTAAATAATACCGTTTCACTATACACCTGGTAAACGAACTAATATGTAGTTACATACTTCCATAGTGCCCAAGATTTGCATGTATACCAACTATGTATTCATTCCACTAAATAATAAATTGCAAGTCAAAGGTATGAAAACCTCCTTCTGACCGAAACCTAGTGACGTGACATTGTTCTTCACCGGTTCAAACGTCCTGTTCTTCTGATCATTGTGAACAGAAATAATGACCCAATGTTTATTGAAAATATCGTATGGACTTACACCATCTTCTGTGATCCGTACTCATGATCATAAAATAATTATGATAGTATATTCTATTTTTTCATGTCTGTTTTGGTTCAATGTAGAAATCTAGCAACCTAGTAAAGATGAGCCTGTTAGGGACGATTAATCAGTATCAGCATGTCGATAAACACATGTACTTGGTGCGTCAGATATGTGAGATTTCAGTAAATTCCGCGTGTCAATAAACCTGGGTGTCTAAGAAATAATGAAAATATGCCGATAGTTGCATTTTAAATCTCATAGAGTCATTCGATGGTAACATTCAGCTGAGCAATGCTTTATTTGTCAATTTTCATGGATTAGTTAGCCATTATTCTGGTTTCTAACCACGTATAAACTAAAACGTTCACCCGTTGTTGATTACTGTTGATTAATGAAGATTGTTTACATACCTAACTGCACAGTAACTTCTTTGGTGAGCCGCTGCTGTCGGTAATCGAACTAAAGTTTTACAAGCCATTTTTATACTTTTGCGAACAGCTTACCGTATCCATATTATATATGTTTATTATATGTTTTTATTGTATGTCTACATAGACCGATTTTATATGTACTTCGCAAACATTTGTCAATTTACTGTTGAACATTACCTTGACACAGTTTTGAAATTTGACTACTTCTATAATACATGATTACACTCTTCACAAGCGCCTTTTAGTTTTACGTTGTGGGCGTCGAGTAGCCACAACGTCTACGCACGTTGATAAACGTGAAGAAATGCTGGGAAATACGTGTACGCTAATTTAGTCAAATAGAGCACGCAACAAGTCCATACGATGTTTTCAATAAACAGTGGGGCAGTATTTCTGTTCACAGTAATCAGAAGAAGGAACATTTCCCACGGTCACATCAGCGGAAAATAGTTGCTGTAAAGCGCTACCTTGTGGTCACTCAAATAGATTATTGATAGCGCCAAAAACCACATATATTTATAAATTTCAAGTCTATTGGTGTTGCGAACTTATTGAGTCAGTTAAAGTGCCCAGACAGGAGAAATACCTACAGATTACTTCAAGTATTTTTGTCATATCAAAACATCAAAACAATAGTTTTCCGAATTTGTTCCCATGTAAGCCACAGCTTCAGAAAAATTACTTGGATTTTATTAAACATCAAACTGTATAGTCGAACGGCACATGAACTAAGATGAAATTGTCTGAAGATCAATTTCTGGTAAATATTTGTTACAATACGCGAACATTCGTATAAATATACACTTGCATTGTTCTTTGTATTCAGAATATGATAATTTCAGGTGATATGATTATGTATGGTGACAGTAAAGCTATAGTCATACAAGATGTTATGAAATGATATTTAAGAATGTTTATCGCCAAGATGATCAGTTAATTTGGTATCATGTTTATTTACACTATGAAAAATTTGATAACGGATGTTCTTCATCTGTTCTGTTTCACTGGAGCCTGCGTGATAGGTGATAGCTCTTTTCCTTTCCTGTCATATGTCGTACCCGATACGTTTGAAATACTTGAGGATTGAGAGGTCAGCTTTCATTCGTGTGAGCGAAAGCTGTTCACTAAACTGGAAGAACTGAAACTGTCTCCATATTATAGACAAGGAATGGTACTTCACCTGTAGTTTGGAGTATGAAATCAGCAGTTTTATTCGCTTCATAATCCCTGGTCTTCCAAACCTTCGGTATTATATGTGCGTCGGTGGCACAGCGGTTAGAACGCCTGCCGACCATGCACATGGTCCGGGGTTCGATCTCAGGCCGACGCACACCAGATATTAATAGTCGGCCTGCTAGACTTGGGCTACCGATATCGCATGTTGAAAAGTCCATACTTATACCAAAATATTGTGTGGAATCAAGCCATAATAAGATAAATAAGTAATAAATAAATATAAGGCTCAGGGCCAAAAGAAGATTGGAAAGCTTTTCTTACAACTCGGCAAAACAAGAGTGTAGGTAACAATGGTCAAATCTTGAATCGGCAGCAGTAAGTTGTATTACACTAAAATATTTAGACGAAGGCAAATCCTTCTAAGTTGGCATACGAAAACACGGGTGTTGATTTCTCACACCGATTAGTGTTCCACGAATAATATTTGCGACATTAGTTACCCACCATCACAAACCACTATTCAGAGGAAGGCGCAATCATTCAAAACAACGTGTTCCTCTCCCAATGGAATACAGTATCTTCCCTTATGAACAGGCGGTTAGGACACACCATTGAGGATTTTACCAGGTTCCTATTCGGTGGCAACTTCTTTGGAGGGTGGAAGTTACACTCGCAAGCATAAGACTAATCCGACTTCTAATACAGAAATATGTCGATTTATGAATATTGTTTTATTCCTATCAGCGTGAAGAAGGATAACGAAGGATAGTGAAGGATGGCAATAATAATAATTTATATTTCGCATAAAAACGGGTGTTTACAGGAAATGCATGCCATTTTTACGGGCACGATCAGTAATGTTATAAATTACAATCCTGAAGTATCATAAATTAATACTTTTTCAAAAGTTTCAATTGTTCAATTATTGTACAAGCAATCAGAACAGGGTCTTATAAATGTTAAATCGTAAACCGTTTACCAAGGTCGCCATCAATGTTGAGCGACAACCCAAATTTCATTCCATTTCATGCAGATAGTTGTGGTCAACCAGTGAACAGCGTATATTTTGGTAAGTGCTATGCCGCCACGTGATTGAACGTCATGGGAAATTGAAAAATGACACAAAATACAATTATAGATAATACACCATTGGAAGTACATTTACAAGACACACACAAGAACGAGCTGGAGACTCCTTGGAATGATAATACACATTTGAAATGTTTAACGCTAACCATATTGGTTTAGGCATGAAAATATGATGTTTTCGATGAAGATGTGGCTTTGTACAAACATTGGTGCTGTTGTGTTTTTCATCGAGGCAAGTTTCAGCTTTAGTTAAGGCATAAGTAGTCAAGAAAAGTACAGTATGATGGTGCGTAAATCAAAACATTATCGTGAGACAGATAAGTGATATTTCAACGAGAAGTGAATTCAAATATCTTGAAGATTAGAATCCGTGGAACAAGCTGACGTGTAAAATATCTCATGGATTTCCGTGTAACCCAAAGGGTGGCACCTCGACAAGAAGCTGAGCAGGCTCGTAGATCTTAGGAGCGAAAGCATATTTT